TGTAGTCAGTGGCCACCATTCTCGTCACCAGGTCTCTGGGTTCCTGCAAATCCCCAAAGAGCACAGTTCTATCACAAAAACCAGAAGTCTGAAAAAACCCAAAACTACACACCAGTACAAGAAAAGGGGCTCCAACCCACAAAGCTGTATGTGGTCTTCAACTCCTACCAGGGCCTTAACAGCCAGCAAAATCTCAAACCAACCCCCCCGCCCCAATCAACACTTGCGCCAGACCCAGAAGAACTCAGGGAAGACCTCTACCCAAAGTGAAGACATGTGAAGAGAATTTGTGCCAGGAAAAGACAGAGGATGTGCCAGACCCAATGGACTCACGGCAATGAGTTCAAGACTGTAAGAGCACGGAGAGTTCTCACAAGGCAGTGCAGGTACCCTCCATAAAACTGAATCAAGAGGTTGAAGTCCAAATTTCCACCCTCAGAATGCAGCAGGAGAGAAGAGTAGACAAGTCCTATTTTCAGGACACAGAGCAGAGGTTACCTCAGATTTGTGATATAATGGAAGAAGATAGAGAGGAGCAAGAAGAAGAGAACACACAGCCAAGAAGAGGCTTTTGTGGCTGGTGGCAGCTGCTCTAGAGATGGTTTCAGGCCATGGAGACATACATCAAAGTAATAAACTAATATGTTCTCTGGCCTAACTCATCTTTATCACCTCAATGTCTCAGGGTTCTGGATTAGACTAACTCCAATACACCCACTTGGAAATTCTGGGTGATACCGTTCTGGTTAGGCAGGGAAGGAATACTTTGCCTCTGCACTCTTGGCACAGCGAGTAGCATTAGATCCAGGGACTGACCTCTGTCCAGACCATTTGAAGAGTATCTCAACTATGACAGGATATAACCACACAACTCCCCTTCCCCTCTGCCCCCTCCCCACCGCCCCCTACTTTCTTGTTTATTTCTTCACAGGTGTCTCCATAGTTATATGAGAAGAAGTGAGCATTAGCTTCAAAGTAAGGACAAATATGTGACACATTTTTGTACTATGAGCTTCTTTGTCTTAACCCTTTATGTTTCACCTACACAAAGGCAGCATGAGCTGAATGACTTCTGTACCATAGTAATCTTTCCTTTCATAGCCAAAGGCAGCATGAGCTGAATGACTCCTGGCTCCTGATCCATTGCCTGTACCATAGCAACCTTTCCTTTCATAGCCAGAGGTAGTTAAGAAAGCCTGAGGGCAGATAAAAAGACAAAAGACAATCTCTGAGGAGGAAGGCAAAGGAAATTAGTTTTTTAAAAAATATTATCTTGGATGGATTAAGAAAATGTGGTATCTATACACAATGGAATTTTATGCAGCCATGAAGAAGAACGAAATGTTATCATTCGCTGGTAAATGGATGGAACTGGAGAACATCATTCTGAGTGAGGTTAGCCTGGCCCAAAAGACCAAAAATCGTAGGTTCTCCCTCATATGTGGACATTAGATCAAGGGCAAACACAACAAGGGGATTGGACTATGAGCACATGATAAAAGCGAGAGCACACAAGGGAGGGGTGAGGATAGGTAAGACACCCAAAAACCTAGATAGCATTTGTTGCCCTTAGCGCAGAGAAACTAAAGCAGATACCTTAAAAGCAACTGAGGCCAATAGGAAAAGGGGACCAGGAACTAGAGCAAAGGTGAGATCAAGAAGACTTAACCTAGAAGGTAACACCCACGCACAGGAAATCAATGTGAGTCAATGCCCTGTATAGCTATCCTTATCTCAACCAGCAAAAACCCTTGTTCCTTCCAATTATTGCTTATACTCTCTCTTCAACAAAATTAGAAATAAGGGCAAAATAGTTTCTGCTGGGTATTGAGGGGTTGGGGGGAGAGGGAGGGGGGTGGAGTGGGTGGTAAGGGAGGGGGTGGGGCAGGGGGGAGAAATGACCCAAGCCTTGTATGCACATATGAATAGTAAAAGAAAAAAAAAGAGAGAGAGAGATAAGGTAAACATGAAAAATAAATAAGTAAATAATATTATCTTGGGAATGTGGGAACTGAAACTGGCTGAGGGTTGATTTAGTAGGGTGAGAAGTTTTGGGTTTTTAAAATTAGATTTGTGGCTTTTAAAATGTTTTTATTAGTGTATAATAGTTGTACAGGGGTTTCATTATGACATTTCCACGTATCTGTACAACGTACACCCATTTGATTCATCCCTCCAGTAGGGGTACGGGAGTTCCAATGAGAGATTAGTAGTACATGTGATACTTAAGTTTTCATAGGTTTACACAGGGCTGAAGGGTCTGAATTTTTTCTAGCAGTGCTGAGTGAGCCTTTGTTCTGTCTCATCTGGAGCATAACAACACATGATGGGTCTGACTGATAACAACTCATGTTTCAACCTCTCCAGAGCCTTATCATAGGATTGATTATGTCCTCATCATGGGATTGATTATGTGCTTGTTGGCCTACTTGCACCTACTTTTCTTTTACCAATTTCTCTCACAGCTTCAAATTAGTGACTGCGGGAGCCATGTTCTTGTTTCCATTGACACCACTTCCATCAATCCTCATGCAGCCATCTATCTGCCTTAGAACTACATATAAAAACTTGTCATGGGAGAAAATAGTCATTACCTTCTTAACCTTCTAACAATCATCCTGAAGAAGGAAATAGAACAGAATGCTGGAAGTATGGACCAACTTCACACCACCTCATGAAATGTCCACACACCTGTGAAAGATAGGGATGGGAGGTGGGGAAGATCTCAAGACAATGCAGGGGTAGGGGACAAAGTGTTCCATGTCACAGAATTCAGAGTCATTATGCACATGGACCAATGCCCTATCCATTGCAGCATATACAGAAAAAAAAACAGGAAAAAGAACCAGGCATCATTTACAGAATAGTCTATGTCTTTCTACTCCATTACAACTACTCTTAAGGCAGGAAGTAGCCTTATTCCGCACAGAGAAGTGGGATCTTTGATTTTCAAGAGTTCGCCCTCTCAACACAGTGTGTACCATTGCTCTTCTTTGCTTTGAGGAAGGAACAAAGATGAGGTCAGGGTCCTCATCTCCAGACAGAGCATAAGGAAACATCAATAGCCTAGGGCCCTCAAGGTAGCCATAGACACCTTTTTTAGAGAAAAGTAGAGGGGTCTTCAAAAACACGTAGCTGGACAAAGGGAAGCACACTCTTTTTATGTAGGAAAAAGTGGGGGAGGGTGAAGGAGCAGTCAGTAGCTCATAGAAACATACACAGGCTATTAGTTCCTCATGTGGGAGGCATGAGGCCCTAGGTTAGGCAGAGAATGGACAATATTTGTTTGGCTCTGAGTGAGATGGACAAGACAGAAGAAACCCATTTCCCACATACTCTTTTGCATTTCTTAGGAAAGCAAGAAAGACTGCATTTGTGTTTTGATGCAGGAAAAATCCCGAGCTTTGAATGCCTCACTCAGGAGAAAAGCAGGTTTCTGTTAGTTGGGGAGTGGGATGAATAGAGGACAAGTTGGAGAGAACAAGATAAGTCCAGCTGTGACTCCAGATATCCAGTTTTCCAGACAATCCAGAGTCCCACATTACACTTACCAAAGGAACCACTCTTTATTGCCTCCAATAGCAAGGACATGGGGAAGGGAAAGACATACGGATGCCATAAAGTAGACCGGGGAGAGCACTTCAATGCTCAGTCCTGAAACGGACCACTTTCTAATTTTATTCTCATCTACTCCTAGGACCTACTTCCCAGCAGTTCCTGTAAGGTTGTAATATTGCAGATCTTATAGACAGAGTCGCTATTTGGCAGTACAGTCTCCTTAGCTATGGCCATTGATCTTCCCAAGCAACCCAGGAGCAGGTGAACAGGCCAGAATAAAGTCTTAGAGACCAGGTATCCTACCTAAGCTCATTCACTGGATGGAGAAAGGAGGTGGGCAGACAGACACAGAAAGACCGAGGCAGGAAGACACGGACAGAATCCCTGTCCTTTTCCCTGCTCTGACTGATAGATCAGGGAATCTAGTATTTCCTTTTCCCTGCTCTGACTGAAGACAAGATCCCCAAACTTGAACACTGTATCCGTTAGCATGCTTCCACCCATCCTGCCTGGACATGTTACAACAGGACTAACAAGTACCAAACACAGTAGCAGACTTTGTACAGACAGGGTAAGTGCAATGTACATGTTGATGCAATGAAGAAATGCTGAATGAGTATTGGGAAGGCCCAGGAGAAGTCCTGCAAGGTCTGGTTGGTATGGAGCTCAGAGTTATGAACAACTGATAAAAATCAAACTGTTTCACAGCATGCTATTAAGAGAGGCATCATTCCATAGCTTGCTGCTATTGCATTTCAAGTATGGCTGTGGTATGCTCGCTCAGTAGTTCCTGCTACTAGCCCTGTCTCTTAGCCCCAGAGAAGCGCTCAGGAAAGAAAAACCACCACAAATTAACTGTTCCAACACAAGGGTTACTGCATGTAGTGGGCGAGAAAGTGAGGCAAGCTCCCATCACTTTTATTAGTTCAACAACTGAAAGCAAGTTGCATAAATAGCACTGCAGAATTTCAAGCGGTGGGGCCTTCCAACACATTGCTTCATTCCACTGAGAAGACTCTGGACCCAACTCTCCCCTCCTTAAATTTCTTGGCGAGTTTCACTGCCTAGGTGGTCCTGTCCCACTCCCACCCCAACCATTTGCTCAGATAATTTGTCCTTAAATTACCCCTGAACTCTATGCTGCATGCTTTTCAACATGTATTTCCTGAGAATGCTCTTCCCACTGCTGGGCTTTTCCCACACCTATATGCCCTTCCATATCCTAATCATGCTTTACAAACCAACTCTGGTGCAATCTTCTTTCTTAATATTCCAGGAAAATCTATTAGTTTTTCAAGAAATGTTTGGATATTCGTTTTATAGAGAAAAATGCATTTACTTCATCACCTTCTACTACTGCTCAGTTACATTCGGGATGGTACATTATGCTTTTTACCTTCTCCCTGATTTTTTAAGCTCCGCACGATTCTTCTCTAACCTACCCCAGCGCCTCGCCCTTCACCCTGCTGAGCCTTTGGCTTACTGCCGTTTTCGGGGCCACGAACAATTATCACCATCCACCTCATGGCTTTCTGCTGTAGGCTATGCAGACATATCAAACCTCGTGTGATCTTCTTTCCATTCCTGGCCTGGCTTTCTCTTCGTCGCCCCTTCCTCCTCGTAGTCCCCTCTTCCCGGTAACCTGCGTGGCATCGTCTGCATATGCACCTCTTTTGTGTTCCTGTCCCTTTTTCTTTACAGGAATTTTTCTTTACAGGATTATCACACACGATCACCCTATGTATCTAATTACTCTCCTTAAAACCCTATGCCATCCTCATATCATCACATTCTATCCCTGGGTCAAATAAGAATGTATGCTAGCTCTTTTGTAGACCCCCCTGGAATTAAGTTCAAAAAGCTCTTTCCCTCTGTGAGTATTGGACGTTTGAAAAAGTTCAGAGGCTGACAGTAATATTGAAGGCTTGAACAATTTTCTTTCATGGTCACTTCGCAGTGCTGTCCTGGTTTTCCTGGCTGAGCATTAGAAAAATCTTTAGAGATGTTGGAATAATTCGCCACTCTCTCTGGCGTAGGATACGTAACATTTCTGCTTGAGGAGAACCTCTACACCTTCCTGCCCAGTGTCGTGGCCCTGTAAACCTGGGTATTGGCCTATTGGTTTGAATATCGGCATGGGGAACTCCATCGCCTCTGATAGCCGTATTCTCTTCATTCTGCTGTCTTGTAAGGGAGCTAACATAAGTAACATTCCAGGTTTAATACATGGGTTATTAGGGGAACTATGGGAGCAATCTTTTGTTCCCTGGTTATTTCCCCAGTATTCCCTTTATGTAACAACAGGAAAGCGGAACTAGTCACAGCTTGTTTATAGGTTTGTTGTTTTTTTTGCTTGATACTTATGATTTGGGGCCTGCAAAGGTCTGTGTTTTTTTCCTTCCAAAGTCTCGGTTCTCATCGGTCAGCCTCCGCCTGTAGTGGCGTCCGTTCTCGGCAGCCGAGGTGGCTCTCTAGCTGAGACGACGGTGCTGTCTTAAAATGAACCCTGGGGTAAGTTCTGGTGTTATCTTCGTTAAGTTTTCCTATTCAAGATCAGCGAGGTCATGGCATCTGTGGTGGTTGTTTCTGAACACTGTCTTTTTTGCATTCACAGGCATGGCAATTTTAGAGGAGAGAGGGCCTGGTAGTGGATCTTAGTAATAATGTCTCTTAAAGAGCTTGTGGTCATATAGGACAGAAGCAATTAATCTGAATTCCAGTGTGATTATTTATATGTGCGGTGGCTTAGCCACGCTCACATGGACTCATCTTCTTGAAACATCTACACTCTCGTAGTATGTTAGTATTTTAACAGCTAAGGGACTTTGGCTTAATAGTTGGAATAACTGGTCAGTTTCTTAATATAGTGAGAGGGGTTACGCCTCAGATTGGTAAGCATAAAGGGATAACACGAATAGACTCTAGTAGGTAATGATAATGAGATCCCGTTCATGAGCTGGTGGTAGTCATCAGGAAATCCCCTCACCCAGGATTGGATCGTGATGTTGCCTGGAAAAATTTCTGTGATGAAATATCACAGGACCATCTCTTTTCTTTTTGGCGTCCTACAGTTTTCTTGTGTAGGTGCTGGAATACTAGTCTCTTAGCAGTCTTCTCTGTTTGAAATCATCTTTGACTTACTGGATTTTTTTAATGCTTGGTGGGGAATTGGGTTATTAAAGGTTGCACTTGGTGGTGGCGAGGTTTAGGTTGTGTTTGTCTTAATGTGAGGTCTCCACCGCTTAACTTTTCCCCTACTAGGTCTTATTGCTATCTCGGTATGGTGATCTATGACTTCTGCTTGTCTCCCTTTGTATATCTGTACTATCCATCGAACTTAGCATATCACTCTTCTGAACCTGCGAATCGCTATTCCGCGTACTCTACTTGTAAAGTTTAATCTACCGTGGTCGTGAATGTTTTTTCCTCGTCCCAATGCCCGAAGTCCCTTTTCCCCCCCACTGCATGGCAACGATGACTGCGTCAGAATTCTTGCGCCTTATCCGGTGCGGTATATTCCTAGTCCCTCTGTGTGCGTCACATGGGTAACCAGTTGTGTCTGACAATATCAAGACCTATCTAGGGAGGTTGCGCCGCTTTGGCGTTCCTTCTCTTCGTTGGATACATAGACAAGGGATATTCTAAATGGGGGTCCAACCATCCAAATATTTTGATCTGTAGGGAACTTTATAGTAAATGAGTGCGATAGGTCGGATATTTTCATGGTCTTCTGTGAAACAGTAAAAACCACTGTTTTTGAACAGGATATAGTGCGCTGGTAATTGCTGCAAGCCAAATGTGAATGTACTTAACGACACTGAACTCACACCTAAAAGGCAACAAAAGACAACTTTTAGCCTATATTTTATTGTATGTAAACATTTGTCAACATGAAATTAGAGTTGCCATCCAGGCACAGTGATTCCTGCCTATAATTCCAGCTACCAAGTTGGTGAAGATCAAGGGAGGATCACAGTTTGAAGCTGGCCAGACTCAAGGCCAATGAAATCATCTTTAAAGTGTACAAAATGAAATGTACCTAAGAATGAAATGTAAAAAAATTAAAACCGTAATAACTGATCATCAAGCCCACCAAAAACTTAAAAAAGAGGAAGAGGGTGGTTAAAGAAGAGTAACAGAGATGGTGTAAATTTGATCAAAATGTATTATGTCATGTTGCAAATACCACAAGGAAAACTCTGTATGACTAATTTATGGCAATAACAATGTTTTGAAAATTTAGTAAACCGTTCTCACAAAACATACAGCCACAGAGGCATAAATCTGTAACTGCAGCTATGCCTCACAGTCTAAAACTGGACAAGGAAGAAACCATGAAACCCTATGTGAAAAATAACTACAGAAAAAAAATGTGGAAGTATGGCTCAAGTGGTAGAGCACCTGGTAGCAAGTACCAAGACCTGAGTTCAAACCCAGTAACACACACACGCACACACACACACACGCACGCGCACGCACACACACGAACAAAAAGAAATCCCACTTCTAAATATACAGCCAAAAGATCTGAAAGTGGAATCTGGGAGAGAGGTGTGTACACTCATGCTATAGCAGCATTATTCCCAATAGCCAAAAGAGGATGACAATCCCAGTGTTCATCAGTGGATGAACCTTGAAGATATTATGCAAATGAGTTATATCAGTCTCCAAGTCACAAGGATTATATGATTGCACTTATACAAGGTACCAAGTAAACTTCACAGAAATAGAAGCTAAGTTTTGAAAGATAGGTTAGTGAATCCAGAGTTATCATTTAATGGGTATAAAGTGGGAAGAGGGGGATGGTGCTTGTCTCACAGTGCAAATGTAAATTCTTACACACTCCACATGTTAAATTCTGATATGTACATTTCACAATTTTGGAAAATCTGACAGCACTGACCTCTCTCAACATACATCCAGTGAGTTAATGACACAGAAGGGAACAAAAAGCCTTGCAATAAACACTTCCATCTGGACACGGAGAATAGAAGCACACAGCCATCATTGTTTTGGTCAACCTGGCCACCCCCTATCATCCACCCACCGTATTCCCCCTGAACCAATATCTGCTAGGGAATTCCACAGGGCATCTACTTTCTCACAGGACAATATGCTGTGGGAAAAGAACTTCAGGTGGATAACTGAAGTCCTAGGGAGTATGCACCGGTCCTGCTTCTTACATTCTCGTAACTGTAATGAACACTTCTTCAGCACATACCCTATGCAGTCATGCTTCATGGAGCTGTAAGGGTAGAAATTAGATGGTCAACTATGAGAAACAAAGGAAAACTGTGAGTGGGAGTTCACTTCTGTATTTAAGTGGGGATTTAGTACAGCAAGAATTTGCAAGAAAGAAAACACTTGAAGTTCTCTTAAGTTCACATTAAATGAGAACTGTCTAAAGAATGGAAAAAGTCCAGCAGGTACACTTATGGCTGACCCTCTTCTTTCCCTACAAAGGACACCCTCACAAGAGCTAATGTAGCAGAATGTCACATAAGCCATCCCAGGTGAGCTGGATATGCACACAAACACCAGGAACAGATGCCCAACAAACACTGCACCATAATCCACGTTTGCATTGCCTTCCCACAGGTAGTGCAGCATTTGCTTCTGTCCCTCACCTGGTCCAGCTCTACCTGACATTTCCATCATTTGGAAGATGAAAGTCTAGACACAAGGTTGGTTCTGATCCAAAGAAGATTCCCTGGCCCCATGCTGACTGTTTCATATACTCAACTCTTTACAACTTGAAAATGTTGTTTTGTTCCGTTGGAGGTACTGAGGTTTGAACTCAGGGCCGTGTGCTAGGCAAGGACTCTACAGCTTCAGTCATGCCCCTAGCCTGAAGATGTTTTTACAGGGATTTGAAAGGTAAGAAAATGTTTTATTGTTCTACACACTTTATTTACTATATAGCACTTTAGTATTCTTTAAAGTTCTGAAAAGTACTTTTACATGAAAAGAGCACTAGGAAGAGTTACAAAAATTGTTTATTGAAACATAATTTGCAATGCATTTTAATTTTTGATTTTCAAGAAACTGAAATCTTTTTTTTCTAAAGGATTTCCTGTTCTGAAATTTCTGTAAATCAGTGATGTTTTTCACCTTAGTGTAAAAAGAGGCTTTCTTTTTAAGGGTACTAAATAAAATATTCAGGTCAGCAAATAGTACAGAAGGCACAAAGAATAGATGTTGAATAAAATGCATGAGAATCAGTAGGTTCTCATTAAACAAAAGTAAACATCTTAAAGACACTCAATGCAATACTGTGCCACCCAGCCTCTTTACTCCATCAGTGACACTAAGCCTTCTGCCGTGATGAGAGACATCACCCCCAAAAATGTCAAGTGAATAACATGGAGAAGGAAAGACAAAGGGCTAAGCTGGGGTCATACAGAAGAAAGCAGAGATGGTTCATTGGTCTGTTCCTCACACAGCACACACAGAAACTCATGTGAATCATGCCACTGTTGGTCAACCTTTGGGGTGGAGATGAGGGCTAACATGAAGAAACAGGGGA